CACACACACACACACACACACACACACACACACACACACACACACACACACACACACACACACAGTCACTTTATTGTACAATCTGTTGTGTTCTATGTGGAAGTTGATGATTCTGTATTTTCCTTAAACACATTAATAATAAAATATTTCCTGAGCAATGTGTTAAGATGACTCACACTGAAGTGAAGTGTGGTGAAGAAGGAAAGAAAGAAAGAACAACCCCCTCAGCCGACAGCAGATATCCCGGATACGATCGCTGCCATCTTCTGCAGTCTTTTATTTCTTGTTTCATTTAATTTGATATCAAGTGCATCTCATTGCGTCATATAGAATCAAACTGTTTGTTTCCTGTCTAATTAATGACATGGTTTCTTGTTACTGTGTAATCTCATGTAAAGCTGGTTGCGTCTTATCGGCTGTAAAATAATTGAGTTTTCATGATGTTGAACTTGTGAGCATCACGGGTCTGAAGTATCCATCCAGGATCATTTCTGTTGTGCAGCGAACAAAGAGGTGAATATTTACTGAGTCTTGTCGTCTGTCAGGGTTTCTCTCCTTGAAGGAGCGCAGCACTCAGATGAAGTCACTGCAGAGAGGAGCTCTCTCCGACGTCTCCGTGGGAAACTCCTCGTCAGGGTTTTATGAGGAGGAAACTTCGGCCTCACACTCAAAGAGCTTCGTCTCCGGCCTCTTGTGAGATTCAGTCTACGACTTAAAAAGTCTGAGACAAACGTCTTTTCTTCATTTGTCTCCTACATCTCACTCCATCACCTCCCTCTCTCCATCACCTCTCTCTCTCCACCTCCTCTCCCACCGCTACGACTGTTTTCTAATTATCTTAACAACGTTAAAATGTTGACCGGCTTTTGAAATCCTGCTTTTTTTTTTTTTATGACTCTGTGAAACTGCATGATTGACACCACTTACTTACACTTACACACACACACACACACACACACACGGCAGATGAGGAAAATCCCAATTAAGAGCTCATTCCACAGAGTGATTTCATTACGAGTGATTTCCAGGAAGAGTAAATGAATCTGAAATGAAAATGCTCGTCTCAGTTTCTGCTGTGTGCTCGTTATGGATTAACATTTAACATGATACATGCATTTCCCTCACAAACAGTATCCAGCATCTGTTTGTGCAGCGGATAAACACGAGCAGCCGCGTTTGCACCCGCCGACATGAAGCTCTGGATTCTGCGGTGAGGAATTAAGGGGCGAAGCAGCAATAAACACACTAATTAGATTAAAGTGAGCCGCTCTGTGAGGATCATGTCTGATCTTTATCTGCACACAAACCTCTTCATTCTGCAACGTTTGAGCTCAGGTTGAATTATTCTCCTGAGGCCTGGAGCTGCGGTTGGAGGATTTTTTTTCACAAACAGTCGCGGATCGTGGATGACGGACGCAGAGACGACCCACACACAACAATGGAAATGATTGACAGGTAAGGAGGAGTAAGAGACCGTAACTCACCCGTCCGTGTCCTGGAAGTTGACGTTGACTTTCTTTGCAGAACCGAGGAGCTCTGAAACACACATAAACATGGCCGTGAATAGATTTCCTGTGGGAGATGCGTCTCGGGCTGGTTGATGTCTTTTTTACGACATCACTGTGTTCAATGTTTATGTTGAGAATCAGTCTCCGAACCAATGAAGCAACATTTTTCACTTGTTCTCTTTCCCCCTGAATGAAACACGCATGAGTCACGTCGGCGTCATGTTTCCTCGCCTGCTGTTTGTGGGAAAGAAGTTCATTTCCTCGACTTCAGGCCCCCGTGGTGATAATGTGTGTCTGTCATTCCTCGTTACATCACTCAGAGCGAGCATGCTACCGTGTGTGCTGGTTAGACACAGTCATTTAACATGAATGGAGCTGGAAGCACAACAAAGAAAAAAACGAGCTGAATAGCATCATTGTACATTTTATCTCAAGATAAAACACTCGACTCTGCAGAGGGAATATTTCCACCATGTCAGTCAAGCTGCAGCAACACACACTCACAGACATCAGCCCACAAGATATGTGGGATCGAAAACATGACTGTGGATTCATCCCTTTGTCTGGATCCAGCTCAGAACCCATCACGCTCTCCCTTCACCTCTGTCCCATCGTTCTACCAAGTTTCAAGAGAATCGATTCGGTAGTTTTGCACAATCCTGCATCGGAAAATCATAATAAAGCTCAACAGCAGCTTTATGAATAAACTTTAGTCAGACGTACACGCCTGAGATATGTCTTAGCTTTAAAATGCAGCATCTTTTGTTTACGTGAAGGTTCCGAACGTTTACACCAAACTCTGTAGGACTCCAGCTTGAAGTGAGTCCTCTTCACTCAGCTGTGGGAGGTGGAGGTGGATTAGTAATGATTTCACTCTGTCACTCCTCCGTCACAGATCCGTGTTTGTTTCAGGTTCATTAACACGCGATGAAATGAAAGATGCAGACACTCTCCTACACACACATTTTTAAATTTTCTACCCTCTGTCTTTATGTCTCGTGATGATGCAGAACTATAAATGGGTCTGCACACACACACACACGTACACACACACACACACACACACACACGTACACACACACACACACACACACACACACGTACACACACACACACACACACACACACATACACACACACACACACACACACACACACGTACACACACACACACACACACACACTCCCTCCAGGGTGCAGGAAACAGGACAGTCCCTCTATTGTAGAGGAGACAGCTCCCAGCGCCACCGAGAGAGAAACATTGATTTCCTAACAGGCTATTTCTGGCCACTGAAAGCAGGGATCCACTCCCAACGCCACACAACCTGATATGCATCCACTCACACGCATTACACTTTTACTTTTAGTTCGAGAGGCACAGAAGCAAACGTGCACCTGAACTCCAGAGGTAGCGGCTCTGGAGCTTCTCCGGAGGATTCACCACAGGCGAGTGGGCGTGTTGATGAGGTTTCTAACGCACGACAGACGCAGAGGAAGTTTATAGTGAACACATCAGACTCTGCTCTCTGGAGCTCATATCTGGAAACGGGCTGATAAGCACCAAAGAAGAAGAATCCGCACAGAGACCAGTCTTTGTTCGGGGTCGTCTGTCCGGCAGGGGCCAGCCCTGACCTCTTGACCCCATGACGTCGTCACATGTGACCCCTGCCTCTTTGTGGCCCTGGTCTGTCATGGGACAGAACTCCTCTGGTTTTCTCTGATGGCGTCTTCGTGACGAACCTGTGTGAGGAAAACTTTCCACTCGGCACATCTGGTTTTCACAAGTTACAAAAAAAAAAAAATCCACCTTGGATCCTCTGTTCTCGTCCTGTTTTTGACGGAGGCAGGTTTTCCTCCGGCCGCCTCGTCTGGGTCGTCATGACATCACACCTCTCCCAGAATGCTCCTCTGCCGCTTCAAAGGGAACGACCCTGAACTCGATGAACTGACCGCTCGCTAAGATGCTACATCTGTCGAGCTTTGAGTTCTCAACACGTTAACAATGAGAATTTAGTTTACTCAAAGTGACATACAGTGAGTCACACAGGTAAGAACATACGTGACACATATTTAAATGTGCAATATTACACAATGTAAAGGTTAAACCACACACACACACACAGACACACACACAGACACACACACCTGGTACACAAGTTTGTTCTATTGCATCAGTGTGTGTGTTGCTCAGTGACACTGGACAGCAACAGAACAGAAAGTCACAACAAACAGTGAAACCATGGTTATGGAGAGGACGGCCAGCTGAGGACGCACGTCTTCACACACTCCAACACTACACACACACACACACACACACACAAGGACTTGCGTTAACACATTAATGTCCAAATAAAACCAGACACTTGAATGTACAGATGAAGACACACACGTGCTCAGAAGTCCATCTCCTTCTGTTTCCTTCGGTTCTTCCAGTCTAGATCTGCACATTTCAGAAACTACCGAAGATCCGACATTTCACTCAGGACGACGAACCTGCCGACCTTTGCATTAGTACAAATGTCTGTCCGAGTTTCTCTCACTTCTTACAAAGGTTCCTCTTGTACGTTGCTTCCCATTTACGTAAGTGACATTTCCATCGTGTGTGTGTGTGTGTGTGTGTGTGTGTGGAACCGGAACTGCCCCCCCGGAGATAATTCATCAGCACAGCTCTCTCTGCTCTGCTTTCCATATCTCTCCTGAAGGGGTATCGATCGCTCCCTGTTAACATGCAACAGGTGAGGGAGCGCTGAAAGGCATGATGGGTTTTTAATGGCAGTGAGCCTGCATGTTTGAAAAGGTTAGAAATATTCATATTTCCAACTCCAGAGAGGAAAAGTTTATTTGAGGGGAACATTTTACAGATTATCTTGTTTTCCTACGCTCAGTAAATACGGACAACCCCCCCCCCCCTCGTGGGAGGAGAAAACTGAAAGCAACATCCCTGCTTTTCATAATATGCTTCACTGTTGTATAATATCAAGAGTGAAGACGACTTTTAAAGGAGTTTGTTTTGTTCCACCATGACACAGAAAGGAAAGGAGAGAAGAGAAGAGGAGAGGAGAGGAGAGGAGAGGAGAGGGAAGGAAAGAATCCTTCCTCCCTCTCTGGCAGTGAGGATGGAAAATCGTGTGCAGGACTCTGGAGTGCTTTTTGAAAGTGGACCTGTTGTCTTGGCTCTGATCGATCTGTCCCCGTTTCCCCTCCTCTCTCGCTCTCCCTCTCTCTATTTTCACCTTTTCTTCTTGTCCCTCCCTCCAGTTCTACAGACGAGCGGGTGAGGTCCTTCCTCGACTGCAGCACCAAAGTGACTTTGGCGGGAGTTGAGGATCTCCTGAATTATTGAGGTCGACTCTTTGCTTTCGAGCAGCAGAAATCAGAAATGCTTTTAACTACAGGCTCATGTTGGTTTAACCTCTCACAGCTTAACCAGCTGCAGAAATTCATCTAAAATTCTAAATGTTTCATATTAAGAGACATTTTTAGCTTTCGGGCTCTGTGATTGGACGTTTCTTGCACAAATACTCATTGGGACTCGTGTTAAATAATTAATCCTCAATCTTCAGTCCACAGTTTTGTGTTCTGGGGATTTAACCAGGAGATATTAACGCCCATCCAAACTTTGAAATGATCCTGAACTTCTCGCCTGTGCAGAAAAAGACTTTTACAGCGTCCAGATGTGACGGACGTACACGCAGTCAGCTGGTTCTCATACGCTTATCGTTCTTCTTCTTTGTGTGTGCTCATGTGTGCACTGTGTCTTCTTGTTTTGCTTTGGACTCCACACACTCAGTGACCCCCCCCCCCCTCTTCTCTGACATCAT